GCCAACTCGACCGGATCGTTTGGATAAGCCGAGCCAACTCGTTTGGTGGATAGCGCATCGACCACGGGCCATTATTTTTCAGTACATAAATAATGCACAACAGGGCGAGTGTTTGTAATCTCAAATTATCTTGTTTCACTTTGTTTCAGGTGCCATTTGTACCATATTTCCCTGCATTGAGTGTATTTTTGAACATTGTGCTGATGATGAACTTAGAGCTATTAACTTGGATTCGTTTCTTTATTTGGATAACTATAGGTAAGGGGTAGTCATTTTGACATCTATAAGTAGGGTACGGTAGTCTTTTGGATAACACGTAAAGTAGTCTTTTTGGAGAATGCAGGTTTTTAGATAAGGAGTATAGTCGTTTTGACAACTAAAATAAGCTGTAAACTCCCTTCCTCCCTCCAAAATAAAACTGTACTAAACTTCACCTCCATCTTTAAAAACAAAATAAATACCTGTTTTATGGTCAATAACAGCCAAGTGTCTTCAACATGACAGCTAATGGAACAAGTAAGTAAGTAACCCCCCACCCCACCCCACCCAAAAAAATCCAAAATCATAAAACAATAATAGAATGTAATATTTTTTCTCACACAGGTCTGATCATCTATGTGTTGTATGGCTATCATCACAGTTTGGAAGGAATTAAAAGAAACGGATCAAACGACTACCAGAGAATGTCGAACGATCCGAAGTCAATAGCTTACGGGGCAATTCAGCTGCAAGCCGCTACAACTAAGCTACATTAAAACGATAACCAGAGAATGCCGATCGATCCGAAGTCAATAGTTTACGGATAAACAGAGCTGCAAGCAGCTACAACTAAGCTACAGTAGATTAAAATAAATTTTTTGGTCAAATAATAAATACTGTAGTTTATGTGGCACAACTTTACGTACAATGCTCATTTGTGGCAAATAAAGCTAAACTGTAAAGGAGATGCACGCCATCGTGTTGGGATCCAATATTTCGACATTATCGTCATCAGGAATAATACAGTTTCATCTCGCAACTCAATGTTCATGTATGCAGTATGCAAGCTGTGGGAGCAGCGGCTGCCCTCCCCTTTGTACACAGTGTTAAAATTTAAAGCTTATTCTTCCTAGACAATAAAAATTCCATTCAGGGATCACTCAAAATAAATACTTCTAATCTATGTAAATATGCATCAGCACACGTTATACACAGGCCTACTATAATAACACATAGGACTAGGCCTAAGCGTGATTTAAAATAATATTAAATCCATAAGTCCCAGGCCAGGTTTTCCAGATACAGAAAGTGATATTGTATGGTTCAGTTTGGTTTTTGCCCTTTTGTAAGCTCTATAAAGTTTTGTTTTAATACTACAAGTAGTAGTAATAATAATAATAATTATGATGATGACGATTGTTATGATGATGATGGTGATAATAGATAGGCCTAATAATATTAATAATATGAAAAAGTGAAGAAAATTGTGAAAGGCGAAAAAATAAGTTGTGATTTGTTGATCACAATTAATATAATATAGTTAAAGCTTAGTAAGCTATAGTTGGGCCTAAGTTGTCTTGGTTATTAAGTAGTCCCTGATAAAAGATCATGAGCAATTTATTGGCCCTTCATTTTGACTATATTATAATGATGATGATGTGATGATGATGAATTTTACTATATAAAAGTGTCATTTCCGGCCATCTGGAGGTACTATTTCATCAAATTCGCGTGGGGCTGAGGTAGTTGTGAATTCACGGCTTTGAAGTATGTAAAGCACATACTCAAAAACAATGTTTATAAGCTTTATTTTCTATGGTACATCACACATATTAATAAGCATCACACATATTAATAAGATCTCTAAGGACCAAGAATTGAACCCTGAGGTACGCCACAGATGATACGGGAATGTTGAGATTCATAAGAATTTACAGATGTTAATTGAAAACGGTTAGATAAATAGCTTTTAATAAGTTGAAGGGGAATACCCCTTATGCCATAGTTATTAAGTTTACGTAGAATAATATTATGATCAATAATGTCAAGGGCTTTTGATAAGTCTAGGAAAACACCGATTGTATAGCTATTTAGAGAGGGCGCTTGTTATCTGTTCATAAATATCAATTAATGCAAATTCCGATTATATATATATATATATATATATATATATATATAAAATTACGAATAATAATTTGACTACACTAATGAATTTGTATTTATAGCTGGTTTAGATATTTGGAATCTATTATTATGTATTAAGAAAAATATAGGATAATGATCAGATGTATCGGACACTAAAATACCACGTAAAATTTTGTCTAAAATATTATTTGTAAATACGTTATCAATAAGTGTAGCTGTTTTTGTTGTTATTCGCTTGGGTTTCGTTGCTAGAGGGTAAACATTTTAATTAAACATTACAGTATATTAATAAATTCTGATATTTGATTGTCTGTGCAGTTTAAGAGGTTAATATTGAAGTATCCAGCGAGACACGCAATCTTATTTTCCCTGTTAATAATATGTAGAATTTGAGAGACGTTACTATTAAATAATTTGATGGGAAATTCTCCTAAGCGATATATAGCTCCGAGAATTATGTTTTTAGGTTGATAATTTATTTTTAAAAAGACACTTTCAGAGTTACCAGATATAATAGATGAGAGGTCTGTCTTCGTCGAAGTGTTTTACTAAACTTCTGGCATTTAAATTAAATATGTTAAATGAGTAATCTTCATTTGAATAATTTTTATTAAAGGAGTCAATGAAATTGTAATTACATGCGTTACTATTATCTGGAAAAAGGAAGTTATTATTTGAATTAGAATGCTCAAGATCAATATCAAATGGATTGAAACACAAATCATTTAACTTATTGAGGTCTACCTGGTCCCCGAAAAAAACTTTTATTTTGATATAAAAAGTCATTGTCCTTATAATAATGGTTGAAAGGAAATACACATGATGGACATATGTTCTCATAAGAAGTTATGTTGTATATAAAGCATGACATAATTTATCTAATACAATAATTAAATTAAACAAAAAATTAAAACAATTATTAAATATACGATAAGATACAAAAGATAATAAAGTATCACTATAATATATATTTCGAAAACAGTAATACCGTTTATGTTCAGTAAATGTTAACGGGCAAATATTACTTCGAGACTCAATATATGCACAACAAGATATAGGCCTATGGTCTTATAGCAGTATTTAGACACAGGGAGGCAGGAAAAACAGGGAAGGATGTTGTGACATGCTCCATGGAAGAAAAGCAATTTTTTTTAAGGTGAAACAGGACATTATTCTTTCACAATAAAATATTAAAGAGCAAGTTATAAGTTCACCTATTTGAGCGGCAAGGTAGTACATAATGTAAATGATTGAACTGTACGTACACGTCACAGAAATAAGTACGCAATTGGCAGGTGATTAATTAAAATACCGTGACTTACGGAATGTGTATTTTAATAGAGATGCCAATGAAACGTACTTTTCATCATAACAGATAAACAGAATAACGATTTCTGGAACTCCGTAAATTAACATCATGTTCTATAATATGAAAAAAAATATATAACGTTTTCTTTTTAAGTTCCGAACATAAGTCCTGGACCTATAGTTTCCTAATATCGTCCAAAGACTAATTCTTTTCATAGTTTCTTTGCCGTTTTGCTCACGAATCACTGCGTAGATACGACCATCGATTGACCACGAAGCTGCTAGCCTTAATAATTTCATTGCGTTTGTGATAGCGGCAACACTTCACGATGATGGGCCTTGCTTTGCATACCATCTGCTTTCCAATACGGTGAGATCTATCAATGTCGTCTAGAGTAAGATTGATATCCAAATCAGAGTTAACCATTATCATCTCAGAACAGAATTGCAACTTTCAGAGCGCGCTACTTTTCAGAGGGCTTCGCCCCTGGACACCCCCACCCCACGTGATCCTACATATCTCGCATAACGGCTTCCCCCTTTCAAAATCCTGGCTCGTCCCTGCAGATGATACTGTTATTTTTAGGCCCTTTTCCTCATGAAAATGGCATTATGCTGCAATGTGATTTAAAAATAATATTGTCACATGGTCATGACAAAATGGATGGTCATCAATCCTTCCAAGTCCTTCTTCCAATATCTCTCCAATATTCATACAAAGTTAATCATCATGAAATTCCACGCCAGAGTGAGCATTGGCGTTATTATTCAATTAGACCTCAAATGGCATCTCCATATTCAATCGATTGTAATATAGCCACCGGGTGCTTGGTTTTATCAAAAGTTTCACTAGCCGATCTAAACTCTCACTCACTATGTACAGTAGTCTAGAGTATGCGTCTCCAGTATGAAATCCTTCTATGAATTTGATATTTTTTATTTATTTATTCATCGAAAAAACATAAAACAACTCTAAACACGGAAAAGATAAAACGCATTACAAATACATTTACAGAATCAATTGCAAGAAACAAGGAAATCACATTATTGTCAGGATTTAACGTATTCAGAGATTTACTAGGTATTATTTTGGCCAGTCTCACTCTTTGGTGATACTGGATAAATCTCCTATGAGAATCGGATGGTTGAATTTGGTTTTCTTTGTTGCTTTGAAACAACGTCGGAAAGTAATCGATGTGTTTTTAAAATGTTCGGTAACCCGATTATTAACATGTTTGATTTCACACTTAATGGGTTGTGCACCCATTGCCATAGAAACCGGGCGTTATAACAATACTCCAGTTAATGAGAGGAAATGTAATCTGTGTAATCTGGATTATATTGAAAATGAATTGCACTGTTTTATTGAATGTTCAGTATACACTTCTTTCAGAACCCAACTGTTTAATGATCTTGCTAAATTTAATCCATCCTTCTCTGACCTAAGTAATATTGAAAAATTTACATACTTGATGAGTGATGGCAATCACTGTTTTAAAATTCGCCAATCAGATTCTTTCATTACGGCAGTCTATTTTGTTTAATCACTAATGTTGAGATTTGTGTGTTTTTTTTATTTTTTATTATATGTTCTATTTGTAGACTTTTTCCTTTCTTTCATGTTGCGTGGTAGTACACAAAAACAAAAAAGGGAAAAAAAAGTGAAAAGGAAAAGAAAGAAAAAAAAAAACTAGTTATGAGCCCTTGAAGCTTTTTTCATGTATTTTTAAAGATGTGTCACTCATAAGCCAGTATTGGCTGGTCTTATTGTATTATAAGAGTGTGACGTTAATAAAGACAAAACTAAACTAAACTTAATGCAAGAAAAGAATACCCTACACTTTGTAATAGAAATCCACGATGCATCGAACTTACTCTTTTTGTCACAGAATTATTGTTCGCTGGAATTCTCTTCCTTTGCCTGTTCGTAATGGAAACTTTAGTGATGAGTGCATGTGGATTTTTTTTTATTAATAAAAGATAGTTTAAATATATTATACTGCATAATAAAACTTCTGTTAAATAATTGTTTTAATATTTAGATTAGGTTATGAAATGGATTGTGAATTATAATAACGATTATACTACTATTATTACTGGGCCTACTACCTCTGCTACTGTTGTCGAAAATAGATTTGTAACACAGAATAAATCGATATTTTATATATATATATATATATATATAT